AAGCAAATTTTCTTAGATGTCGGTAAATAGTCATCGAAATCGATAAACAGTTATCGAAATCGATAAACAGCTATCGAAATCGATAAATTGTTATTGAAATCGATAAATAGTTATCGAAATCGATAAATAATAGTTGATGTACCTTCCATCACGTCCCTTAGCACTCAGCTTCTGTCATGCAGTCTCATCGCATTTAGCTTCTGCCATAAATTCTCTAGAAGATCTAAACTAAGAGTATTTATATTTCTGTGAATCATGATTATGTTTTCTATTTCATGAACAATGAATTCATATTATTCAGTCCTTGACATTGATGTACCTTACATCGAGTCTTGTAGCATTCAGCTTTTGTCATGCAGCTGCCCAAACTCAAATTTCAAGTTTTGTTTTTGTCACATTCACTAGAAGAGTGACCCGCAGTTTCAGAGGGGCTATGCTTTTTCTTAACGAGCAAAGTATGATCAATATTTCCACAAGTTTTATTAATGCACCCTCCATCGAGTCTCGTAGCATTCAGCTTTTGTCATGTAGCTGCCTTAACTAAGGTTAAATTTGTAAAAGGCATATTTTGAATGCTGGACTCTTCTTATGTGAGCAGAAAGACGCGAAGAATTATGGTTATACATATCAGTTCCTCGTAGGGTTCAGAGGATTTCGGCTTTTATTAACATATTTGTATTTACAAAAGGAAAAAAATGGTATTTCATTAAAATCGGAATCTATAATTTCCTCCAATGCCATATGATGGTGGACTATCGCCATAGGGTCCGCCCAGATGTTGGCCATATTTGCCGACGGCATCGAATTCGTGGCGTTTGTTGTCGCTGGTCCAGACGGGCACCTGAACCCGGGCCGCCACATCCTTGCCGCTGCTATCCTTGTTGTAGACGCCATCTAGCAGGAATCGCTGCTCATTGGGCGGATTAAACTGTTTCCTCTCGTTCCAGACATCTGCCGCGGGGTTCGCCGGCTCCTTCTGGCGTTCCGGCTGAGGCATGGCCCAGGCGGCGCCAAGCAGACAGCAGAGCAGAGCAATAAGTGTTAGCTGCATGTTGTATATGTGGCTTCGGTAACTCGCTTTATCGATTGATAAAACACTGAGAGCTAGCGCCGCGCTTATATAGCTCAGCCAAGAAGCTATCAATTGCAGCCGCTCAGAGCTCAAAGCTCTTATCAATCGAGTGCTTCCCCTTCGGGTAATTCCTCTTTCTGGCTTCACTTGACTTCGCTTGGCTTGGCTTGGCTTTTGTTTGCCTTCCATTAAATTTTATTTTTCTTACATTCTGTTTTTTATTTGTATTTCATATTATATATATGACGAATATTTTTGTCTGTGTGTATCCTATATGACAATTTTTTGCTCTTCAAATTTATTGAAACATTTTATTCGCATTTTATGCAGCCTCAAAAACTGCAAATAACATTTGTCTTTAATAATTGGCTTTAAATTATGACAGTTTATTTCGTTCGATATATTTTATTGTTCGCTTTTGATGCATGCTCCTACAATATAAAGAGAGTATATTACGACTACAAGTTATCCTGGATAACACTTTATATACTTACATTTCAAAGATATGTATATGTTTCTCATGGGAACAGCAAGACTAGATATATGATGTTATAGACTTTATAGTCTATAGACTTTATAGTTCCAGTGCTTTATATCCATACACATATACATTCATATATACTATATAAATGAATGTATATGTATATATGTTTATATCTATCGATTTTGGCTCAACGAGCAGGCATTAGGAAGTCCCTTAAGTTCCCCTGTTTTATTAAGCACACATTGATTTATGAGATTATGAATAAAAAACATTTTCATACCCATTGAAAATGGGAGCTCAGGGTAGAGTGGTTTTATGAAAATGTATGTGACAGTTGGAAGGAGGCGTGGCAGACTACATATACATAGTATAAATACATATATTATAAATGTTTATTTACCTTAAACGAATTGGCTAAACTGAGTCTATATAATTTTTTCCGGTTGACCATTTAATCTTCCGTTTGTACGTCCATCTAATTGTATGTCCATGTATGTGACTGTCAGATCGATCGTCCATCTGTATATCTATATGATTATCCGTCAGATCTTTCATCTCTTATTCTGTTTATCCGCCTATCCGTCCTTCTCTCCATCTGTCCAATAGCAAACTGTTCTGCTTCTTATAAAGAATTCCATTAAAGACTATTTGGGATTTGAAAATTTCTGGTTAAAAGGAAACCCAACTTAGATTGAAGTCTTAAAAGGAGCATAGCATGATTGGACTATCATTCTTTTACAGTATTCCGGGTATTTGCTCGTCAGGCAGTACTTCACCTGTTTTTTTTTTTTTTCATAACTTGCGTTTGGCCTTATCAACAACAGCAGCCGCAGCAGCAGCCGCAGCTGATAATGGCAAACAGCATGAATAAAATATTGAATAAATATTGTGCAGTTTTTTCTTCTCTCAATTTAAATGTTTTTGCAAATAACAAAAATTGATTCAGTCGAAAAAGCGAGCGAGTCAACTGAGCACAAAAGAAACATAAATAAAATGCGGCTGCAATTCATTTACATTCATATTATTGTCATACTATTGGCTCTGCTGTGCGGGGTGAGTGTGCGTGCATGAAACGAGGCTTTACTGTATCTATAGCTGTGTTTATTGTTTTCACCTGCAGCACCTCAGCATCGGCCAGGTTGATGATGACGATGTGGGCGCTGATGGCACAAAACGACCTGAAAAACAAGAGTTTCCTGTGTGGAATGATGCGAATGGCGAATGGATTGATCGAGATAATTGAATATTAATTAGATAAATAATATTTAATATATGTTAAATGTGTAAAGCTATTTTAGCGTGAAAGTAGATAAATTTAACTATTTTATTCAATTGGCAAGGATTCAAAAGTATGTAGAATATATAGAGTATAAAGAGTATATAGATTACATAGAGTATATAGAGTAGATACAGCATATAGCGTATAAAAAAAGTATATAGAAAGTCTAGAGAGCATACGGACTATATAGATTAAATGTAATCTATAAAGTATATATATAAAAAAAACATAGACTATACGGAATATATATATACAGGATATATAGATGTGGTGGAGTCTATAGAGCACATAGAGTATATAGATATCTAGTTGAGTATATACTTCATATTTCAAGTTTATAATCGAATTCTAGAAACATTTACAAGCAAGTCGAATTCTGCTTAAGCCCTGGGAAGAGAAGTTCATGAAGTGAATCATAAAAATCCCAATAAACTTAGCTTTCCTGTTGATAATCTAACCTTATTTTTATATATTCTCCAAATTCTTAAAATTTAACAAACCTAATATTCATTTTATATACAAAGGTGATCAGCTCTATAACTTTCCCTAACAGATGTTCCCTAGCTTTGGGGTAAATTGAATAAAGCCTAAAAGTTGGCAACAGAAAGTGTAAAAACTATTATTTAGCTATAAACAAAGTTTATATTACCCTTTATATACATATATATACCGACGATTCGCGGACTCTAACTGCCCACTCATTCACTCTAATCGATTTATACATATATATAGCTAAAGTTAGTCGCCTCTATTTCAACTTTACACCCTATAAAAGAAATTGTCATGTCAAAAATCAATTGCCAGCGGTTCAATGCACCACGATTGCTCGTCACCATCGTCGTCGTCGTCGTCGTCGTCGTCGTCGTGGTGGTGCGTGCCAAGCTCATGATAATTGCGGCCATTACACGAGGCGGTTCCGGAAACTATGTGTACTCAAAGTACCTAACTTTTATATAGTCCTAGATACAAAACGTGCACAGGAAAAAAGAAATCAGAAATCAACAAAAGATCTGCTGGTGGGGTATACACGACTAGGCAGATGCGCTGTAAATGATATGAATATGAATATGAATATGAATATGAATATGAATATGAACATGAATATGAATATGAATATGAATATGAATATGAATATGAATATGAATATGAATATGAATATGAATATGAATATGAATATGAATATGAATATGAATATGAATATGAATATGAATATGAATATGAATATGAATATGAATATGAATATGAATATGAATATGAATATGAATATGAATATGAATATGAATATGAATATGAATATGAATATGAATATGAATATGAATATGAATATGAATATGAATATGAACAGTTTAGTTTTAGTAGACGAGTTTTCCAAAACTTAATAAAACTCTATATTTTTTTTGTAAAGCCAAATTCTCAGGGAGAAAGATTTAAATAAATATTATTATTTAATCTCTAAAAAGTAATGTATTAACTGAAATGAATAAAAATTGTTACACTTCGAATCATTTAACCGTTTTAGCACCACATTGTGCAGGGTATATAAAAGCCAAAAACAAAACCAGAAAACAGAAAAAAAAAAACTCTGGGTAGCACTCTATAAAACGCTGCAAACAAATTACTTAACCCCAAGAGGCCAACGCCAGGCCTCAGCCAGGACTCAGCTAGGACTCAGCCAGGACTCAGCCAGCCCTGCAGCCCCATTCAATGCGGCAATTAAATGATTTCTCGAGGTTCGAATCGAGATTGGGCGCATGTAAATATCATCAACGAGAATATCTGCGCAACTCATTTGACACGCTGCCAAGTGCCAAGCGCCCCACTTCGATTTGGGCGCTCGACACGCAAAGTGGGCATGGCCCCCCCCAAAAGAAATGAATCAGGAAAAGTCTTTGCTGCAATGCATCGGCCTAATTGCGTTAATTTTACTCGAAATGTTGCATTGTTTGTGCATGTGGCTGCCACGCCCCTCGATTGAAGGTGGGCGGTGGGAGTGCCTTGCATGTTTGTGAGCACTCTTGTGACGTTGGCACTCCTGGGCAACGCCAGTGCATGTCGACGACATAATTGTTGGCCCAATATAGAGAAAATTATATGCCAAGACGGCGCCTGGAATACCCTGACCCTAGCATACCCTAACTCCATAGGAAGGCTTCGCCCGGCCAGAGTTCATTGACATTATCGTATTGCAAAAGACTTTTTAACAATTTGTTGCTATTGCTGCTGCTGCCGTTTGTTTATAAACATATTTGCTATCAAATCGATAGATCCAATGCGCGCACCGGAGCATCGCCCGCTTCGGACTGACGCTTCATCTGCACATCCATAATATCTTCATCCTCCAGCTCCAACGAATTGGCCGTCTCACTGTCACTGATTTGCTCGCCGTCAAAGGACAGCATGGCCATATCCTTGGCCAGGCCCATTTGCGAGCAATACGCATCCTTCAGCTTGCCCAGCGGCATCAGACGGCGAATGCGAAAGAGGACAACGCCGCGATCAGCCGATTGCATCTTCAGCGTTATATGCGGACAGCGGCTATGCAGCTCAGCATCATCGCCCATCGTCATAGAGTCGTATGTAGAAATTTTCTTAAAATTTGTTTGCTTCGGTATCGTATACTCAGAGTTTGACAGAAATTTGGTTATCCGAAAATCCTCAACACGTGGCCTACTCTAACAATGTTTGCCAGTGTTTGAGGCCACATCAGCAGCAGCAGCAGCAGCAGCGGAGAGAAGCGGAAACTAGGTAATAAATACGTTTGAATATGTTCAATGATGATAAGATAGCGATAAGCAGGTACTCTCCAACTAGCTGTGGACGACATATCTCTTCAAAGTACTTAGAGCCAAGATATTGTAAAATGTAAGCTACAGTGGATACATTTCAGAAAATTCGGAGTAGAATTAACGACTGTTATTTATTCATTTATCTCAAAAGGCTGTATAAAATATTTTAAGCATACATATACATACATGTATGGTCAAGCTTTCGAGTATATAATATATTTTTTATATTTTGAATATTATATTAAAAGTAAATAATTATAAATATATATATATCATTTTGTACTATTTTTTTTTAATAACAAGTGCAAAATTTCTTTTTTTATTAAAACTGAAAAGAAAAAAAGAGAAAAAAAATATACTACTCAATATTTTTGAATCGAATATAATCATTATTACGATGTGCCAATTGCTAATAATTTTAAATTATTTGTATAAATTGTCACTTAAGGGTTTGCTAAAATCTTAAGTTGAACTGATCTTTTAAAAATCGACTTAGGGTTTTAGTAGCGTGCGAACCTCTTGGTTTTTGTAATTAACTTGAAAACGAACACTTACTTAAAATTATATTTAGCACCAATTATTGAGCTAATCAAGTGCTAGAAAATTCGCTATTCGTCAAAATAAAAAAATGTTTTGGCATTTATTTTACTAAAAGTATATGTACAATATATTTTTATACCCTGAACCCATTTTCAATGGGAAATCAGGGTATAATGGTTTTTTTTTACTTAAAATATATATTTATATTGCATATATAAATATATAATTTTTTTTTTTTTTTAGTAAGGAAGTAATTATTATTTCATTCAGATTATATAAATATATATGTATGTATATGTATATCTGATGTAATAAATAAAAAAAATTTTTTTTCATATTGAAAATTTTATATTTATTATTAATATATTTTTGATATATTATATCGTCATATATACATCATATACACATCCCCTATTCCAACATGATGAGTAAGTTTAAAATACAATCGATAAAATGACTTAATATTGCATCTATACGCTAGCTGCAAATATATTCTATAATGTCGTTCTACCTCGTATACCCATAGAGAACATATTTGTCGATTCTCATCGCTCAATTGAAATTCTCAATGCGCCCCATTGTACGCCGAGGCCCACTATCATATCATTTATTTATATATGTATAATACTTACTTCTCGTATATCAATAAATTTCGTAGGTGCGTATATATAGTATAGCTTAGCACTGGCTACGTTGCCATAGCATGGGTTCAATCGTCAGTTGGTTTACGTCGGGCCGTGAGAGCAGTCGTGCATACTCGATCAGACCGACGCCTATCTCATTAAGATTTTCGTCATTAGCAGATAAAACAAATAAAAAAGAATATTGAAAATTATGAAGTGCTTAGTTATATTTGGACTGATTGTGGCCATTTTTGCTAGCATTGCGGGCTATGGTTATCTGGTATTCACAGACCTGACACGTCCACTGCCCCGGCCAGCGTTTAAAGACGACACGTATTGGGGACCCGGAGATGGCAAGAATTATAAGCCGGATACGAAGATCTATGACTTTGTTGTGGATGTGCCGAAAGCGGAAATTCAGGATTTAAGACAACAACTTAATCGCACCTTAAGACTAACCGAACCACTCGAAGGCATTGCATTTGAGTATGGATTTAATACAAATGCTTTGGCTCAGTTTGTCGAATATTGGCGAGACAAATATCTAACCAAATGGAATCAGAGACAAGACTATCTCAACTCACTGAAGCAGTACAAAACTGAGATACAGGGGTAAGCATGCAGCTCTAATTTAGAAAGTGATAATCAATATATATATATACATACATACATATATATAATAATATATATGTGTAATTTACAACACCATCGCATATGTAGAGCAAATAAATCAACACAATTTAAAGAAAGCAGAAAAAGTTACTCCAATACATGTATATTATACGATCTTATGAGTAAATGTGTGTGCGTTCATAGTAGTCTACATTTATTTTCTTTCGGCGCTATAAATTACCCTATCCATAGAACAGTCAAGCTCAAAGTTTGCATAATTTGTACGTTTGCATTAAACGTTATAGGTATTTTACTATACTTCGCTCTCAGAAGGATATAAAAAGCAACGAAAATAAAAAATTATGCACACATACATTCATATATTTACATAAAGAAAGAGAGCAGTGAGCGTAAACAAATGAGTGGTATATTGGAAGAGAGGCCATCCCAATCGCATTAAGTTTTCGGTCAATTAAAAGCTGTTGACAACACGAAAGAGTAATAGGAAATCAAATTTGAAGTGGGGTGGAATTTTGTGAGTGTCTCTCTGCATTTGTATTCATGTGTGCATGGTCAAGCTCAACTTAAACTATTGATGTATGTGTTTGTTTATATATGAAAGAGAGAATTTCCCTTCGCTAAGTGTGTGGCACTCACTCATAGTTTTCTCTTATCTGCACAGCTTAAATATTCACTTTATTCACGAACGCGTGTCTGAAGAGGTGGCTGAGAAGAAGCATGTCTATCCGCTGCTGTTGCTCCATGGCTGGCCGGGATCGGTGCGGGAATTCTATGATTTTATACCCATGCTGGTCAAGGATCAAAATATAAGTGATTATGCATTTGACGTGGTAGCGCCTTCACTTGTTGGCTACGGCTGGTCGGATGTAAGTATAAGAGAAATGTATACTTTCAATCTATACATACATATGCATTACTATATATCTCTTATCCCATCTAGGCTGCCACCCGTGTGGGCTTCAATGCCGCTGAAATGGCTACAGTGATGCGCAATCTGATGCTGAGATTGGGTCACAAGAAGTTTTTTGTTCAGGGCGGCGATTGGGGCAGCATTATTGGCAGCAATCTGGCCACACTCTATCCGGAAAATGTGCTCGGCTATCATTCCAATATGTGTGTGTTGAACACTCCACTATCTATTCTGAAGGGCATCTACACCCATTACTATCCCGAGAAGGTGCTTCGGTCACGCATGTTCTACGATCATCATGTGGGCATTTGGGAGAAGTATCAGGATCTGTTGATTGAAAGTGGATATTTCCATATACAGGCCACCAAGCCGGATACAATTGGAGCGGCGCTCGACTCCAGTCCCGTAGCACTGGCCGCCTACATACTCGAAAAGTTTCAGACCTGCACGAGTCCGAGCTTAAAGCAGGACTTTGGTGCCATAGTCACGATCTTTGGCCTAGAGGCTGTGCTCGATAATCTGATGATCTATTATCTGAATAATGCGGCCACAACTGCCGCACGTTTCTATGCAGAGAATACATCGAAGACGTATCGCGATCTTCAGCTGGACCGTGTGCAAACGGATGTTCCCATGGGTTGTTGTCGCTTTAGATTCGATTTACCCTCTGCATCTGAGTGGCAGCTGAAGGATAAGTTCACCAACATAAAGCATAACATGTATTTCCAGCATGGCAGTCATTTTGCGGCCATGGAAATGCCATCCATGCTATTTAATGATTTTAATGAATTTGTTAAAAAAATTGGACTACATACCGAATAAAATTGCCAAAAAAAATTTATAAACTACAGCTGACTTTTAAAATCAATAAAACAAACAAATTTTAGCACTAATAAATATCATAAGTGATCGTCTTTTTCATTTCAAATTGCGCGGGTTTTGTACAAGTTCACCATTTGCTACTTTCCAACACTGATACTGCTCTTTGTAATGTGTTTTTGTTGCTCTAGCTACTTACCTATTGCATATTGTACTTTTAACTCTCGTTATCGTTATTTTGTTTTGCTTATTCTCTTTGCTCAAATTTAAGATTATCAATTGTCGGGCTGCTTTGTCATGCTCGCAGTGCATAACTGTTGTCGCCCTAAGGAGGAGAGAATGAATTTATATAGCATTTAATCGAAAAATAATATGCATGTAAATCAAAAGGGATTCCCCTGGAGAAAGTATCGACTGTTACAAAATAAAGCAAAACTTTAAGGGAGCTCGTAACTGTATCAATTTGTATCTTAGTTAATTATGCATAATATACACATATGTATGTACGTGTGTTTTTCGTGTCAGCTTCGGGTCACGATAAGCACGGCTGTCACTAGCTTGATTTGCTTTCCGATCTTTGTGTTTGTATACAAATGTAGCCATGTGTGTGTAAGTATGTGAGAAAGAGAAACGCAGTTCAAGAGAGCGACTACGTTGCTTGTAATAGCAATAGAATACTTATAATTGCTCAGTGCAGTAATCCATGTGAAAGCTTCTAAATTTAAATTGATATACGTATATTTTAATGAATATTCATAATATTCATAAAAATATTTATAATTTGTGATTTTTTATATTAAAAAAATTAGTTTACCTTGTTTGCCATATTTTGAGTCACATGCATCTTTGGTGTTCTTTATCATAATGTGCAGCGCTGTAAAACCATTAAATAGCAAATTTTTGCTCATTCTTTTGCGTCTCTCAATCGTGATATTTGTTTGTGCTTTCCTCTACTACACATTTTTTGCAGCTGCAAGCAGACCGGTCTCCGCTTGTGTGTTTCTCAACGTTTCACCAGTGTCTTTTGCGAAGCGAAAGCGAACGGTTGTGTTTAGCTATTGGGATCGGGTAGTCTCAGCCGGCTGTATTGAAAAACAAAAAGAATAATTAAAATGCCATCTGCAGCGTCGACCACAGTGCGCATACTGATCGGTGGCCTAACGCTTCTAGTTGCTGTAGGCTACAAGAACTACCGCGACTTAGGTGCGCCCGGCAAGCGTCCCAATTTGGATAATAATGAGTATTGGGGACCCCAACTCAAGGGCGCATATCAGGAGAATAAAGCCATTAGGCCATACGACATAAGTGTGGCCCCTGAGGTGAGTCAGAAATCACATTAAAGATACACATACACATATGTATAATACATATATAC